GCCATGGTGGCGGTCTCGGTGGTGGCCATGGTGGTGGACTTGGAGGTGGCGGCGGTCTTGGTGGTGGTGGTGGTCGATGGTGGTGGACTTGGAGGTGGCGGCGGTCTTGGTGGTGGTCATGGTGGACTTGGAGGTGGCGGTGGTGGACTCGGCGGTCACCTTGGAAAAGGTGGTGGTTTCGGTAGCGGTTTCGGAAAGGGTGGCGGTTTTGGTGGAGGAATTGGGAAAGGTGGCGGGTTTGGTGGTGGTGCCGGTGGCGGTTTTGGAAAGGGTGGCGGGCTTGGTGGTGGAGTTGGTAAAGGTGGCGGGTTTGGTGGTGGAGTTGGTAAGGGTGGCGGGTTTGGTGGTGGGGCAGGTGGTGGTTTCGGCATGGGTGGTGGTGCTGGGGGTGGGTATGGGAAAGGTGGGGGACTCGGGGGAGGACTAGGAGGAGGAGGGGGTGGTGGATTTGGTGGTGGCGGAGGGTTTGGAGGAGGAGGTGGCGGCGGGTTTGGCAGTGGTGGTCACTGAGTGAAGCATTAGCACGTTGCATGGTCACCTTACATATGTAGTCTTACAGTCACGTACTGAGTTACGTTGCTGTTGGTTGTGAAGCTTCTGTCCATCGTATGTTTCTGAGACAATTTGCCATGTTTGCTGCTTGTCTTGGATCGGAGCTGACGTACTGTTTGTTATTATTATCATAAATCAAATAAATAGTTTCACGTATATTAATTGTAGGATGGCCTTATCTGGGAGGATCATATGCCGACAATGCCTATTATTTTATCCTACGGTTATTTAATTATACTTTTGATCTAAGTGTCAAAGTTTCTATATACCTCAATAACAATAGTCATTGGAGATGTGTGAGAACAGATGTGTGATGAACGGTTGATCTACCAGTTGGAGTCTTTTGAATCCAGATGTACCGACGATCGCTTTGAGATTTGTTCCCGATTTCGATGAACGATGAGGATCGTCCATTAGACATCCGGCGCAAAACCCACGTCACTTCCAGATACTCGTTTCTGGCACCGAACCCAAAAGATGGCCACTATCGAGGCGATGCCGGCGTTCTCCCTCCCTCCCCGTTCCAGAGTCGAACGCGACGGCGACGGCCGTTAGAACCCTTGATGACGCATCCACCTCGCCGTTTTGGGTGCTGCGTTTGCTTTGTGAGTGACATCCTCTCGTTCTCCCATCGTGGCAAGATGGCCTCTTATGCTCGTCGTCTTTAGATTTAATTGCCCCTTGTGTTATTTCGAAAAACCTTTCGGAGTTTCGAACAATTTATTGCTATGTGAATCACTGCTCTCTGGGTTTTGTATCGTACCGCATCCCAAAGAGGAAAGCAAGTTTGCGATTTCTTTGATTTCGTGGTGAGCCGATGCGAGGAATCAAAGATCCACGAGGTTGGATTGATTGTCTCATGATGAATTGATCCATCGTGGATGAATACTAAACAATCCTTATGATCTTTTCAAGTTACGTTGATGTGTAGGATAAAATCGGACCAAGTAATCGGCTTTGGTTGATTTTTCTTTCCTGACTTGGTTTTCTTCCCTTAGGTAGTAATTGTTTTATAGTGCCTTGGGGAGGAGTTCTTGAGATTTCTCTAGTCACCTTCAAGGAAGCATTTCTGGATGACAGTTTGTCAAATGAGTTATTTAGGGAATTGCATTATTCTGGATAGAAAGAAATAAATGGTTGGTTTGCCTCAAGCCAATTTCTTTTAAATGGTGGAAATATTTTCGCAAGTTGTTCTAAAAGAATGGTGTTCTAAAGTTCGAAGCCGAGTTGTTCAGCGGAGACTTGTATACTTCTCAGTATTAGGGAGGAAGAAGAGAGGCAAAGAACAAACAGAGAGCCAATAGAATATGGTCAGGTGAAATGTATAGCATTCTCATTGATCTTGAGGGTTACATCCCGAGGTTATAATGCCATGCATTATCGAAGATGAGCACAATGCATTGGTGGACATCTAAATATAAAGAAATCATCTACACTTTCTTGTTTGAATTTCCATATCTGGGAGCAGAAATTTAGTGCTAAACAAACTTGTCTTTAGAAGTTTGGTTTTTTCGATGTCGATGGTAAGCTACCGACAGTTTGAACTATCTGAGCTTTTGTTTAGAAAACAAACTTGGGCAATGATCCATTTTATTGATTGGGTCACAGGTCAATAGCTGAACCATTTGTTGGTCAACCATGATGTCGAAATTGACATGTCATACATATAATAAAAACATTATGTTGAATAATTCAAAATTTTATAAGATTTTATCAATTATAAAGACATAATAGATACTTAATACATCATGTTAACATGTCGAACCATGTGATGATGTCAGCAAACATATGTAACTAATATAAAATAAAAGCTAGAATATTCAAGATATAAACTTTAAATTACAACCTGATTTATCTTCAGCTAGTACCCATGACAATGATGGATTAAATGGCACATGAAAATAACAGAATGAGTGGCCATTTAAAATTGCATGAACAATGATGTGGAAAAGAAAAATTATAGCTTCACTACATGGAAACAACAGGATGATCGATTAAGAATAGACTCTTAAATACAAAGGTAGTGGAGAAAGCAAGGGAGTTGCAGTAGAGTATTGTGATTGTAGGGTCTATAAGATTTTCTGCGGATATATTTAACTCGAAATCTGGTATCACAAAATTATTATTGACTTCCTATTGTACTATGTTATACCTCCTCATTCAAGTGAATCATTGTTGGGGATATATTTAATTTATTGATTTGGTCACGTATCTCTTCAATCATCTCCCAGCTCAAACCATCCCTGCCTCTACATCAACTCATTGACCATTTTTCATAATTTTACAGGGCAATGTCTTGTTTTGCCCTTTAACATTCTGAACAAGACAGACCTTGGATGATAAGCCTGAATCTTTTTTTTTTATCTTTTTATTTTTCTGATTCACTAATTTTGGTTCCCATTAGAATTCTTGGGTAAACCTAGCTGACTTTTATGAACATTTTTTCTGTTATTGTTCTTTTCATTATGCAGAAATTTGTGGTCACTTTTTTGCATGTCATTCCATGTTATTGTGAGAATTCACTAGATGATCGTTCATAGTAAGTGTTGTGTTCGAGTTTGTAACCATCTTTCTTCCTATTGATGACTCTTCTTTGCATATGTCAAGTTTCTTTTGTATGTCTTTATTGTTATTCTTGACATTATCTGAAGGTCCTTTTGGTTTGTTGGATCTTCGCAATTTGCAAAGCTTGATATTTGAGGATCTCCTCTACACTCCCATTGTTCTTGGTAGGGATTTCATCAGCAACATTCTCAACATTCTTTAGTACATTTATGAAAATAATGGTGTCTTGTCTTCCTCAACTGCAGCATGTGGTTATATTTCTTGTTTTTAGTGTGTCAATAAGGCCATGCATGGATTGGTAGCAACACATTGTGATATTTGTAGGTGGCCTTATGATCATTTTCCTATTATTTGCCGATTACTCCATTTCTTGCCATTATAACTTGAATCTGTGGCCCACAAAAGGAGGGAAATGGAAGTTGTGTGTGAGTGCTTCTAAGTCGTAAATAATGTCGTCAAATTGTTACATTGATCTCTCCATGTGTGATTTAATACTTTTCTTTATGGCATATCATATAGAGTAAGAAAAGCATTTTCATGTATAATCACCTCAGTTAGCAGATCAGTTGGGATTGGAAAAACGTATCTCTGTTAAGAGTGAACTCTCAGCTTGCTTGCTTGTTTTACTCGGCAACATTTCTAAGACTGTTCCGTCATATGTAAAGGCAGTGAAGATTGCAGTGAAAACCTCAGGAGTAGCAGAGTGGTTTCCGACACTTGAATATCCAGAAAACTGCTTTAAGAATCCCATAAGAAGGAACACATCTATGGATTATGGATCATGTTCTCTGTCACACGAAATGTTGTATCAGCTTGCAGTTCTTAATTGCAGACATGGTGAGCTCTTAAGTCGTGATTAGGCATGCAAGTTTTCACATGCGCCTCTTCATTGTCAGGTTTGTCAAAAGCCTTCATCTTGACGACCTTCCAAATGTTTGATTGGATCTGCATCATTTCTTAAGGAAGCCCAATGCAGACACCTGAATCCATCACCAGGTATGCTTGCTCTATGCATGTATTTCATATTTTGATGTCCAAGGGTATATTGCACTTCCATATGTTGTAACCTTCTCCAAAATTCCTTTTTTAGGCTCAACTGCTTGTTAGTGTTCTTTTATGTACTTTAATTCGTTTGTCTTATTTACGTAATCAAATTTTCTTTTGTGCATACTTTACACTTGATCTGCTACAATTACATATCTAAAACTCCCTGGCATATATTCAGTCAGCAGCAGCCACCCGACCATAAATTTGAGCTTGATGAGTAACATATTTATGCAAAAGAGCCATCCTGTTGTTGGAAATTCCTCTACAAGATCGGGAAGAAATGTGAACCCATCGATAGTGATATGGGTCTTTCGTGGATCCCACCCAAGTCCGACCTGATATAATCTGGTGTAGGTGAAGCTTATTTTGCTCATCGCGGAGAAGCTGGAACCGTAGCAGACATCATAAAAGGTGAAACCGGAGCAAACAGAGAAGAAACTTGATTCTGAGAACTCCTTGCAGGATTTGGGTTCAATGCTATCCGAGTGTCCCAGATTCTCTCCATGCATGTGAGTCCAAGGCAAACTGCTGTAGATTGCATTGAGCAATCAACATCAACGACTCCATCTCCCTCAAGGCCCTACTCGAAACCTAGCAGCAGCAGCAGACATGATTAGAGTGCTCAGTTCACAACCCTTATTCCTGTGGGCTATGCCTCTGTCCCCATGAGCAAAGTGCCAAGCTGATACCACAGCAAGCTCCAAGATGAACACTTTGTACCGAGAGAAGGAAAAGGTCAATGAAATGAGAGCCACCCAGCCTCAACCACACTGCTGCACTTGGAGCTGTTCCAGTGTCCTCCGAAAGGACAACTACTCATGAATGGTCTTTTGTTCTCATCCACGGAGCTACTGTTCCCTCTCTGACTTGTGAAAGGGACTTGGCCTTCGTCTCTCCCCTTCCCATGGGGTAGATGACCTCATGCACTCTCGGGAGTTCATCGGGAAGTGTTTCACTCGGAGATTCCACTGCTGCTTCTCAACGATCCATTTGAGTTCATCATGACCATATTCAGCAGGAATGTGATTGGAAATTGTGAAAGCTGGGGGAAGCCTGTTGATTGCAACATTGCGGGAAACAAGCTCTCATCTCTAATTGTCCATCAACCCCGAGAGGTGAAATCATTCTACTGGTGTTAGCAAAATGAGGATGCGATTTACGTCTTGTCGATGTGTTTTAGCGTCTCAGGAAACTGTGGTATATGTGCCTGCACTGTACTGCAAGCCGTAGTTCACGAGAACACCTTCGGTTCACATGCTTCCCACCTCCATTTCGGTCCTATTATCGAATACCTCCTGTTAAGATCTATTAAATCAACCTTTTATGCTTTAAAACTCTTCCTGTTAGAAGATGCAACACATTATTGTTGAAGATTATTATTATTATTATTTCACTTGTTGATTCGTTTCAGGATATCAAAAGCTCTTAAAATCATTTTTTTAAGATTAAATCCTTCATTCGAAGATTCCATAGCATGTGTATTTGACTCTCACAGATTGGTTTTTTCCCCCTGAGAGATGATAAGATTGGTTAATTAGCATTACTCTTTTCTAGCTCTTTACATATTCAAGTACAGCTATAGTACAAACACTTCACCGTTAGTCTGTATGAGCATATTGTGTAAGTTTAGTAGTTGTGTAAGGAGATATTGTTATAAAAATTATTCAAAATGAGGAAAATGAGAAGCCTAATTTTTTATCCTTTATGTTTTTCTGACTTTGTATCTCTGTCATATAATAGCTATTCTTTATTTTTTTTATTCTAAAATCCTTATCCTTGTATTGGTATTGCATACATTTCATAATGCATGGTAATGGTTTTCTTTTAGACAAATAATGCAAACATAACTGTGACTAAAATATGAATATAATTATTTTTAGTTGTAATTGATGTTGATTTGGCATCATTCTCAATAGCAGTCCCACTGTCAGCTAGCGAGAAAGCATATCGTGGGAAGATGGTCCATCGCGTCAGATAGCAAGGCTCGGTGCCTCGCACTTGCTTGCTGCTTTCCCATGGCGACAACGCTTCGGCATAATTCTATCTTGAAATGATGTGTGGTACGAAGGCCACCACCGAGTTGGGAGTTGGAAGAGGAATCATGCGGTGTGAGTCATCATGCCCATCATTTCCGAGCAAACCCCGGCGGACGCTACGTTGCTTTTGCCGTTGTGAGCGAAACAACGCTGCTTTCGTACGAGACGCACGCAAGCGTTCGACCTGACGCACTGCATGCATCAACGCGCGGTTTTGTAGAACATCCACTGGTTGTGTTCAGTAAAGGCAGGGAGAGATTTAAGAGCTTCGCATCCAATAATAATAAACCTTTTGTTGTTGTTTTCTTTTCGATAAAGTCGACTTCCGAGTGCGTCTCGAATGATGATGTCAGAGGAATGAACGATTCAAGTTGAGACCTCGCAACAACTGTGTCGAGAGTGTACGAATCAAAGTACTTGATTCAGTTTATATTTGAAGGATTTGATTGAGTTTTAAGTTCACAAAATGTAATTAGTTTATGTCATAGCTGAGGTTAATGTGGATCCTTCAAAGATTATGTTTATTGATATGATTGGTATTTTTAATTAATTATCATTCTATTCATGGAATCTAATTAAGTACTGAGTGCCTGTCACTTGTTCGTTCGTCATTCAATAAAAATAATTCTCATATACGATGTGACATATAAGAAGCTCAATATAACTTAAGTATTTGAGTGAGCTCACTAGGTATGTCAGATACTAGTAGTGTTGATGTAAAAAATTATTTTCTTTATCATTCGAATTCAATCTTGATTCAAAACACTTTTCAAGTTCTCACATCCGATTTCTTACTAACTTAAAGATAAAAAAGAAACAAAAAAGGATTGTCAAGCATACCCTTAGCACTATTCCTATCGATATTGATTTGGAAGAATCACGAAGAAGCATTTATCTTGTAATTTATTTTGATAATTCTAATTCTCAAGATGCAACACATTCCTAAAACAATTAGATAGGATCAGCACCGAACTTGCATCCACAACCAATGACACTAACATTGACCTTTCTTTTTTCCTTATGTCCAAAAATAAATCGACTTTGATTAGAGGAATGCCTAAGTAGCAAAGATATACTTTATGTTCTCCCATGTGTATATTAAATCGTCATACATTGTCGGATCGATCTTTGATCTGATAAGGTTGAAGTCATCCAAACGAAGTTCGAATTGGTTGTATATTATTTTCACAGTTTGGTTGTATAAATGTCATTCTAAGAGAGAGAGAGAGAGAGAGAAAGAGAGAGAGAGAGAAATTGGTATATCCAATGAACACTTCCACCTATCAAGACCGCTGGGTGATGATCCTCAAATATCATCAAGTAAGTTAAATAATGATCAAAATTAATCATTATTAGTTGCCAATTTCTATACAATGTTATTGGATATTTTACAAAAAGAATTTTCATAATTTTTTATATTCATTTTTATTTACGGATGTTTTTATTTTATAAATGATAAAAAAAAGCTCATGAATCAAACCCAATCAATTTTTGGATAGATTCTATGAGTGTAATTTAGTTCAATTTTGAGTATAATTGGGTCAATTTTCACTGAACCATTCATATTTTTAAAAAATAATTATAAAATATTTATTAGATGATTAATATTTTTTATAAAATACATGATAATTAATTATCAAAATTTAGATTTTTTTGAACCGATATTGTCATCGACTATAACCTTATCAACTTCTAATAAACCAATTCAAGCTTTTACAAAACCACTAGGATATGATTATAAGATAATTAGTATCATTTTTTTAATTTATTATAATTATTTATCAAAATTAGAGTTTTTTTTTAACATGTTCCATAATCGAATATGATTTAGTTTAATTTCAAGTGCAACTTAGTCAACTTTCACCAAACTACTTGTTCATGATTCATGATTAGTATCATATTTTATTATTTTTATAAAAAAAAAATGATAATTAATTATCAAAATTAGAGTTTTTTGAATCGGTTCTATGATCGAATATAACTTAATTTTGAGCATAACTTAGTTTAATTTTTAATAAAACTTAGTTAACTTTTAAACCAATCCAAACTTTCATAGAATTACAAGAAATGATCTTAAAATAATATTTATTATTTTTATATTTTTTTAGATTTTATGATAATTAATCATCAAATTTTAATTTTTTAATTGATACTATAATCGAGTGTAACTTAGTTAACTTCTACTAAACCAATTCAAAATTTCATAAAATCACTATAACACAATCATAAGATTATTTATTTTTTTAAAAAAATATTATCAAAATTAAAGTTTTTTTTAAGAGTATATGTGATCAAATTATTTAAGTAAGAGTCTAAAAGTATTTGTATGCAAGTGAAAAAAAAGGCACCCCCAAGTAAAAATGAATATGGGGGGTGCCAACTAGTAAAAAGCTAATAGTTAAGCTTTTTCAATAAAATACTCCCAATTATTTTCTAATATTAATAAAGAGAAGCTTGTTATTGGTAACCCCCTTTTTGCTATTGGTAACACTAATCCTTAAAAATAATAAAATTATATTTTTATTATTTACAATCTCTTGATTATTAATCTTGTTCTTTTGTTTCTCGCAACACCTCAACTTCTTTACTTGCTCTCAACTTCGTTACTTGCTCATCGCTCTACTAGTCATTACCTCTCTCTCACTCTTGTCACTCTTTGATCGAAGAGAGGAATATGATAAGATCAGATTAGATCCATAGAAGAGTGACATGGAAAGGCTTTTTTCCAATCTCTTCAACTATATATCTCATTCACTTTTTTTTATCCGAGAAAGATAAAAAAGAATAGAATATTTATGTCTATTTGTAAAAAGATATTTTTATAAATATTAAAAAAGTAAACATATGCACTTGTTCCCATAGATTTTTTTTTTTTCATAGGGTCCTCTGGTTTCAATTAATCATATGACTCTCTCATGGAATCATTAATTAATTACAGTATTTTTAATAGATTAATAGTATTTTTAGTTTGACATTGTAACTCCATTCTAATTCATTATATTTTAGTATGTTGAAATAAAATACTATAATTCTATTGAACAATATTATAATCACTAAATTGGATGGGTTTAATAAATTTATAAAATCTTAAGTATTCAAAACAAAACTATAATACTTCGGTTAATCCTATATAACAAAACTAAAATTGACTTGTAAAGATCCGATTCACATATTATTATTACAATGATTTAGGTCTTAGTATTAGAATCATTATAAATAGAGTTGAATGACTTAACGTGGAGTAATCATTGGGCTATACCTCATATTCATCGTACTAGAATTTGATTGACTTATAAAAATAATATAAATATATTATTATTAATCTTAATTTAAGTATTATTATCAATGATTTAAAATAAATAAAATTAATAAATCAATCAACTCATCAAATTCGGATCGCAACAAAAACCAACAATAAGCCACATAAGAAAAAGCGTAGAACACTTTTTTTTTTTTTCCAAAACTTACAGCTCTATAAGCAACAAATATATTCAACAAAATTTACTATAGGGATTAAAAACTTATCTAAATAAGTCTAAGATGAATATTAAATTTAATGAAGTGACTCGAGTTTTTCAAAAGATCGAGTTCTCCGAACGAATGAGGATATTAGTGATGCTAAACTCTTTCACTCTTCTTAAACTGGATAATAAGACGAGAGGTTTCCATCACGAGGGGATCGACAGCAAAACACGGGCGACCTCCATATCACACCGGCGATTCATCCCATTCCTTTGAAAGGAATCATAGTTACTACTTAGTTAGGTCTTGACTATAAAATATTTTAGCCTTTGTAGACATATTATAATAGATCGTAGCTATGCAGTGGAGGTGATATCATTGCACGGCACACGATGACAAACAGGCATTTCAATGGTATTGATTAAAATAATAGATATCTAAGTAATGTCTTTGAGCTCTAGTTCTCTCTCTCTCTCCTCTCGCCAACAACATTATCTCTGCATGCTACTAAAAAGATGCTGCCGATATGGGAAACGGGGGCCGTCATTTTCTTTAAATATCATAAAAATGTCACTATTCGTAGCATTTATTGTTGGACGCGACCACACGTTAAACACACATTGAATAAAAGGAGATCATCGACACAGACGACATCCGGACTGAGAAACGTTAATCAACACTCCGTCACGAAGGTTCGGCCTATCTCGATGTCAAACTCAGCTAGCAAAAGATTCCCAATATCAACCCGTGGATCGAGCCGTGCTGACTCACCAGCCACGATACATCTGTTCACCAACATAAATAACTTGAACGTCATGTCATATATATCACCTCATCATACGAATGAAATATATAATGGAGTTTAGGAGAACAACTATTGATCAAATTTGACAATTGATGATAAATCTGAGTTGAATAGATCAAAATTAATATACATTTTATTTAACACTAATTCAACCTAAACCAATCAACTGAGTTGTGAGTCAAATCAAATATAAAAAATCTCTCTTAATTTTTCTTTTCTCAATATGAGATTATTCTTTTACTCATCTTTCAATCTCTCATCACATAAATTTTTATTATTTATGTGCAACTCTATCGTCTTGATATTTTATTTTTTAATCCTTAGATTTGATATCATATTAGAAATGGATAATAAATCTGATTTAAATTAGTCAATGTTAACATAGATCATATTAATATTAATTCAATCGAAAATTTTAAACTTATTGAATTATGGATCAAACTAATATATGTTATTTAATTATTACTGATAGAACTATTCTCACACAAAAAATAATATTATAGAAACAATGTTTTCATGTGCTATATAATCCTCAAAGCTATAAGACATATAAGTCACATGGTTAAAACTTGAAGATAAACAAAGTTTTTTTTTCTTATTTATTTTAAAATTATGATACAATCATATTATTTCCTTGCATGCTAATTATTATTTACATCAATTCCGATGCATATTCCACTCAACATATACGAACATAGATATTGATAGCAGATAAGATTTTTTTAACGGCATAAAGAATCTTATTATTTTATTCAAAAATAATTTCCTCGTATAAATAGAAAGAACATATCAATAAATTTCATAAAAAAATATATCTTCTATTGGACATTACTTTGTTGCTTTTATTGTCCACATAACTCAATGATGCCTCGTATACATACTAAAGATGTGAATTTTATATTGTGCTTTTGTTAATTTCATTGCTACATACTGAATTGACATTAGCTCCTATCAAGTTAGATATCGTAAATATGTGTGACGCACGTGTATACATATATATATATATATATATATATATATATATGAACTCTAACCATATTATATTAAAAGTATATTAAGATGTGTCTAATGCCAATAGATTAGCATAAGAAAAAATTATCATTTGATCATAGTTTATATGTATTATTATATTTTTACTTCTTGTGTTTTCAGAGTTTGTTTCAAACTTCTCTCTCTTTATTAATTATTTATCTCATCGTATCAAATTAATATAATCTTCATATATATATATATATATATATATATATATATATATATATATATATATATATCAATGTTTTAGGTGTAATATTTATTGTATGATATTTTGAACCTCTAATGTTGGGTTAATGGATTTGATATGTCACACCAAACTGAATGATTTTGATTTTTTTATTATTTTCAAAAGAAATAATCTAAGTTTTTTTGTTGTTGTAATTTTAGAAGCATATTGGACGAAATTAACAAGTTAATCTTTTGGAGATTGGACTTAAAATCTCATCAGACGTGTCGTGGCCTCATTATTCCTTCATCTACATTTGATCCGATGAGTTTTGATGCGTTCGAGTGAAGCTAAAAATAAAAATGAAACCTACTAAATTATTAGTTTAATTCGGAGTCTATTATTCCCTATATATGTATTCAATTACACTCCCAACACATCCTCTCGCACGAGACTTAGCCACATTGCAGTTCAAGTACTTCCCCCCTTCTCTCTCCCTCTCTCTCTCTCTCTCTCTCTCT